ATAAGGCCACGTGGTAAGTGGCCGAGGTCAGGTAGGAACTGAGACAGTCTGGCTCCCAGAGTCTGTACTCTTAACCATTAAATACTTCCTTATGAGGTAGGTACCATAGTTATCCCCATTTTACAGATGAGGAAACTGAGGCTTAGAGGAGTTAAGTAACACTCCCCAAGATGTCATACAGCTACTGGGTGGTAGCAGATTTGGGATTTTAAATGAGGTCTATTTCTATAACCCTGCCCTAGGAGACAAGGTTACAGCTTATACAAAGTCTTAAAAAAAAAAAAAAAATCTTGCCTTAAGTAGTTTCTAGTTTTGCTGGCCATGCAGTGAAAAAGATAGAGCTCTTAAGAATACCATAAGCAACGAATGTCAAAGAGCTCCACTCTTGTACATTCATTAGTAGTCTCTGAACTCCAGAATCAGAGAGACTTTTCTCAAAACAAGACTGAGGGCTGGCCTGAGAAATGCTTCTCTGTTTTGCTTTTATGTTTTGTTTCCCTGACTTGAAGAAAATTGAGATGAACTCAAGTTGCTGAAGCTGCAAGATATATATTTATATGCTTTCTTTATGATGTGTGCCTAAATCTTGTTTTTTTCACTCTGTTAACTTTTCAAAAACTATTAAGAAGAAGAGTGACAAGATGCTGTAGGGGCACAGGAGAGGGAGGACGGGAAGGAGGTGGCGGGTAGATTATCTGCAAAACAGAGTGCTTTTCCGAGAGATTCTCTTTTTCCCTTTTTTTTTTTTTTTCACATTTTACTTTTTTATTTTAAGTTCCAGGGTACGTGCGCAGGATGTACAGGTTTGTTACATAGGTAAACATGCGCCATGGTGGTTTGCTGCACCCATCAATCCATCATCTGGGTATTAAGCCAAGCGTGCATTATCTATTTATCCTGATGCTCTCCCTCAGCCCCATCCACCCCAACAGGCCCCAGGATGTGTTGTTCCCCTCCCTATGTCCATGTGTTCTCATTGTTCAGCTCCCACTTACATGTGAGAACATGCGGTGTTTGGTTTTCTGTTCCTGCATTAGTTTGCTGAGGATAATGGCTTCCAGCTTCATCCATATCCCTGCAAAGGACATGATCTCATTTCTTTTTATGGCTGCATAGTATTCCATGGTATATATGTACCACATTTTGTTTATCCAGTCTACCATTGATGGGCAATTGGGTTGGTTCCATGTCTTTGCAATTGTGAATAGTGCTGCAATGAACATATGTGTGAAGGTATCTTTAAAACAGGATTATTTACATTCCTTTGGGCATATACCCAGTAATGGGATTGCTGGGTCAAATGGTATTTCTTTTCTAAGAGATTTTCTATCCAGCTCCTGGCTCCTCTTTGTCTCTCTAAGGCTTGACAGAGAGCAGGTGCTCAGTGGTGTTGCACTGGAGATTTTGAAGACAACAAGAGCAAAAGTCTTGCTTTTACACATTGCTGTTAGATTAGGGCTATCAATGATGATTATTGGAAAAGAACTGGATTTAGTAACTGGAAAACATTAGCAGCTAGGTAGACCTAACTAAATTCTTACACTGCAAGCACAAATACTGGAAAATCATCTTGCTCTATCTCCTTCAGGAAAGGGCCCCTACTTTCTTTTCTCATCTCTTTCCTCGATGTCCAGTAACACGGGCTACAGTCTGGGAGCATTTACCTGAGACAGAGGGACTAAAAGAGATTGCTTCACTTGAGGCCCCAGAAGCCCCCTCCACCTCTGGTGTTCAAAGCATGAGAGTCAGAGAAGTCTGCACCTGCCAAACCCCACTCTCCTTTGCTTCCCCACATACAGTTACTGTCCAAATCCTATTGCTCATAACCTCATCCACTCTCAGACCCAACGAAATTTCCTCATTCGCACTGCTCCCACCCTGCTCCAAGCCACCACCATCTCTTCCCTGATTCCTGTCACAATCCTAGCTTGTCTTTCTGCTCCTAGTTTGCCCACTTTAATCATCATCCACATAACAGCTAAAGCAGAAATCTGATTGTGTCATCAGAAACCTATTGCCTTTAGGATTAAGTCCAATCTCCTCAGCTTGGTTGACAAGACTGTTTTTCTGATCTGACCCTTGTCTTCTCTCCAGTCTCATTTCTCCCACCCTTGACCCTGCGTTTCATTCAGAGTCAGTGTTTGCGGGTCCTTACATGTTAGCCCCTCTTCCTCAACATCTTCCTAATTCCTCAGCATTCTTCTTGCTTAGCTGTTGCCTCCTCTTCCAGGCCCACACTTCTCCCTCTGCAGCTCAGCAGCCTGACCTAGTGCCATTAGCCAGCGTGGCCAAGGTATGCTGAAACCCCCCTCTGGGAAACCATCAAACAGATGGCTGGCATGGACTGCAGAGTGATATTTTAAAAACACACATCAGGCCGGGCGCGGTGGCTCACGCCTGTAATCCCAGCACTTTGGAAGGCCGAGGCGGGTGGATCACGAGGTCAGGAGATCGAGACCATCCTGGCTAACACGGTGAAACCCCGTCTCTACTAAAAAAA